TTAGCACGGCAGAATACAGTGTAAAGTGTTAGCACGGCAGAATACAGTGTAAAGTGTTAGCACGGCAGAATACAGTGTAATGTGTTAGCACGGCAGAATACAGTGTAATGTGTTAGCACGGCAGAATACAGTGTAATGTGTTAGCACGGCAGAATACAGTGTAATGTGTTAGCACGGCAGAATACAGTGTAATGTGTTAGCACGGCAGGAATACAGTGTAATGTGTTAGCACGGCAGAATACAGTGTAATGTGTTAGCACGGCAGAATACAGTGTAATGTGTTAGCACGGCAGAATACAGTGTAATGTGTTAGCACGGCAGAATACAGTGTAATGTGTTAGCACGGCGGAATACAGTGTAATGTGTTAGCACGGCAGAATACAGTGTAATGTGTTAGCATGGCAGAATACAGTGTAATGTGTTAGCACAGCAGAATACAGTGTAATGTGTTAGCACAGGAGAATACAGTGTAATGTGTTAGCACGGCAGAATACAGTGTAATGTGTTAGCATGGAATAAAACTAGCAGGCACAACTCACCCCAGGCTATAATGGAAACAAACGTCAAAACAACAAACACAAATTGGACAGAGGGAAAAGAAGGGATAATCAGTGATATAGCAATAAAACAATGCATAAGCAGTGCAGATTCTGTAAAAGAATGCTGTGCAACAACAGTGCAAATTTGGGAATAACAAAGAAAAATGGGAATTCAAATGAAATAAACAAGCAGCCTCTCGGCTGAGATAGCTCCGCTGTTAGCAATGCACATTTCAATTAAAGAACAGAAGATATATTAGAATATTAGAAAATGAACAATATGCATAGTATCAATGCAATGGGACTTGCTGTTTTAAACAAGAATTCAAAAATATCATTTTTCACCATAAATGATTGTGGTTTTTAACAAGAAGAAAATATCACTTTTTACCAAAAATGACAAAAATATTCACCAAAATTAGAAAATTAAAGATATCATCATGAAATGAACAAATTTGAGAGTGGTCCACATGTAGTACCTATATATGTAATATCAAAGCAATTGGACTTGCGGTTTTTAAAAAGAAGTTGAAAATATCACTTTTTACCAAAAATGACAAAAATATTCACCAAAATTAGAAAAATAAAGATATCATAAAATGAACAAATTTGAGAGTGGACCACATGTAGTACCTATATATGTAATATCAAAGCAATTGGACTTGGGGTTTTTAACAAGAAGTTGAAAATATCACTTTTTACCAAAAATGACAAAAATATTCACCAAAATTAGAGAATTAAAGATATCATTACAAAATGAACAAATCTGAGAGAGGTCCACATGTAGTACCTACACATGTAGTATCAAAGCAATTGGACCTGCGGTTTTT